AATATAGTAAAATGTATCGAAAATGAACCAACCTAGTATCATAATTAGTACTGATGAGGAATTGGCCCTAGTTTGCCGGTTATTATTTTATCAACCAACAGGGTATCATTCCAACCTCCAAAAATTATAGAAAGATCTTAAAGCAGAGGGGTATCAGTTTCCATATAAAAAGGTATGTGAGTGGCTTACAAACCAGAATGAATAGCAAAAATACACTTCATCACCAAAAGATACTCTACAGATTAGTTATGGAAAAATTTCACGTCCAAACTGCGTACATATATGTGATTTGTTACGCTTCACAAATGATACTGTCAATAAAAAGACATACAAATGGGTACTTACTGTTATAGATATCGCATCTCATTTTAAATAGGCTGTTCCATTGATATCAAAAAACAGTTCAGAAGTCACCAAAGCATTTAAGAAAATATATAATAATTCGAACGTCCCCCTTATCTGGCCTGATTTATTACAATACGATGGCGGGCGTAAATGGATAGGTGAGACTTCAAAAATAATGAAGGTACATAATGTTATAATCTGAGTTATAGGTCCGTATTTTCATCAAGGTCTTGCAATCGCAGACAGATTTTGTAAAACATTAGCAGAGATGCTATACAAAGTTCAATCCGCCGTTGAAACTATATCCAGGAATCCTAAATTAATAAGGGCATGGGTTAAACATTTACCAAATGTTCTTAAATATCTGAATAATTATCCAACATGACTTATATGAGCGCCAGGATCAAAGAAATAGGGATTAGCACCTATGAAGACAATTAGATTAGATAGGGTAGAGTCTAGACCATCTACAAAATACAAACGTTCAGTTGGTAAAGACGAAAAAAAATTAAAAAAGAGAGATACCGTTCGTTTCTTACTCGCTAATGCAGAATGGGAAGGAGGTATGGAAAATCAAAGGTGTGCAACAGATGAAATTTGGAGCTCTTCTTTACATAAAATCCACAAAATTGTGATAACGAAAAACAAACCAATTTTATATTATTTAGATGGAGAATTCGTACCAACACATGGATTTGTACGTGAAGAATTAATGCTAATTGATCTCGAAAAACTTCAGTATCCGCCTCAGAGTATATTAGAGGAAAACACTCGTTCCAGGTCTGTTAATTTCGTTCGTATTATTAATAAAATAGCTAAAGCTATTGCATATACTGAGAAGCATAACGGAAAATGTCTTGGTAAAATTGGCCAAATAAATGATTTCGATGTATATCTCTGGTTCTGTAAAAACGGAAAGCATCAGTGGGAATATTCATATCCATTAATAGCTACGAAATTTGAATAGTGTCCACTTTGCTTCCATCACACCGATGAGCGTTGCTGTAGATATATTTTCAAAGATCTGTTAGGTAAGAAATTTCTATCTTGTAAACCATCATTTTTGAATGAGATGCAATTAGATGGGTATAATGAAGAGCTAAAATTGGCATACGAATTCCAGGAAGTTCAACACTACTATCGCGATAGTTTTTATCACAAAAATCAAGATGATCTAGATAATCAAAGAAAACACGATCAAAAAAAGCGGAAAATATGCAAAGAGCGAGATATAGATCTTATTGAAATACTGTATGGTGTTGATTTATTCCTATACATAAAACACAAATTTCAAGAAAAAGGTTATCTACAAAATATAGATATAAATAGCCTATCAAAATCAGATTATTCGTCAGAATAAAAAAAACATAATATATGTTTATAACAAAAAGATGTTATATTGTGTATTTGCTGTGGATGAGGTAAAACCTTCGAAAAAATACCAGGGAGATAAAGATGTACCAGCATGGCCTTTTCATATCGTAATAGCAGGGGCTAGCAATTCAGTTAAGACCAATATGAATTTAAACTTGCTAACAATGCCCAAATTTTATTACATATTTAAGAAGAAAAAGCATTCTAAGATAGGGAACGCAATGTTAAATACGATGATATATTTCTTTTCGGACATCATTTAAATGAGCCAAAATATAAAATAGTTTGAGATTTTTATAAATATCTTGCCCAAGACAAATCAAAGCCC